GCCGATTGCCAACGACTGACGCTTCCTGCAGGCGGGAAAAAATTCAGGGCTGTGCATGACTGTCCCCTCCACAACTCCACCGAAGGAGGCCTCTCTCGCATCATTGGTTTACGCGGAAAAAAATAAGGTCCGATACTTTTTGAACAGACCTTGTAATCCATAATTAAAATAAAATCAGTTAATATAAATACATTATAAATTTAAGAATCAAATTTCTATTTCATTGCTTTCAAGCATTTTCATAAAAGATTCATATTTTTATTAAAAATAAGATTTATATACTACTACTATTAGTTAAAAAAAATTTCATACATGAATAACAACTGGGTAAAAAATGCTTTAACATCTGAACATTGACAGAGCAATGTACTTCTCTTTTATGTTATTTAATGATTAAGTGAATGTTTATCTGATAAAAAAAAAATCTATGTTTATGTAATACTAATTAAAACTTTTAAGTTATATAATTAAAATTTATGAATAAATAATAGTTGTTTAAACAAAAGTTATGTAATTAGAACCTTTAACAAAGATAAACTAATTCTCCTATTCACACTCAGATTCTTTAACTTTTTATAAAGTCAACACACCTTAATACCTTAATACTTAATTTATTCTGCTAAACAAACGTTTTCAACCCATTCCATGGGCCATTATCAGGTTAAAGACGTTCGAATTAATGGCTTTTCGAATAACACGTTCAAATTTAAATTATATTGGAACATATGCAGTATATTGAAATCAAATTAAGTAAACAAGCATAACGAAATTAATACAATAAATAAGAATAAACAAAATAAAATAATAATAGAAACCTTAAGTAAGGGTGAAAGAGCATAAGTACAACATAACAAAAAGCTGATATACAACAGCATTATCAAAAATAGCGCAGACTGATGGATCCATAGTTAAATGGGAAGAGGCCAGAATCATTGCAAATGTGCACTTGCCAACGCTTGCATCCACAACAGAGAAGTGTGAGATCTACAGATCTAGCTTAATGGAAAAATGTTTAAACTATAAGGATGCAACCATTTTACTGTCGGCATGGAAATATATAATCAGAAAGAACTCGTAAGATGATACATCCAACAGGCTCAATAAAACCTAAATTACTATATAAAACAATTTTTTTTACATATTGTATTGGGGGAATTACCATATTTTGTATTTTATTTTAATTCCCCACAATACAATAATGATGCATTTTTATTACACCATTATCTTTTAAATTATATATGATTAAATCATATGCTCATAACTTTTGAATTTATCTTTTTTAGAAAAAATATACTGAATAAAAGTTTATTTTTTAATGGAGAATTCAAAAATGTAAAAACATTTGGATTCTATTTGAAATTTTGAAGTTGCCCTCTGCTCCACTCAGAAGGGGATGGGAGAATCTTTATTTTTACAGCATTAAAAAGGTCTCATGAAAATATTAAAATTTTGTCCTTATCAAATTTTCTATTAGAAACATGTTTTCTGAGTTGATGACTCTTAATATCTTAAACAGAACAATTAACACCTAAATGCTAATTCCAGCACTGAATGAACAAAAAATTTTAATGCTCGAACGTTTTCGGCCGTCTTTTAGAGGCCCTCCTCAGGAATGTATGAAACACACAATAAAAACATTTCTATCATTTGAAAACTTCTAACCGTCGAATACAGCTGTGTTCCAAATTTTTAAATATTTAAACGATGTATTTAAACGGTAGCATAGATGTGTCCAAGCAGAAGTATAGTACAGCTCTAGCCCAGTATGCTACTGAACCCGGGGTTTCCCCATGTTGGGATGAAGCTACTCTTGCATAGGGCCTTCGACTGACACGACTTACGCTCGTTGGAGGCTCTTGAGATTTACATAGAAACCATGAAGGGAAACTGCATTAACTTCGATTATATTCCGATTCCACAATCGTGGAAGTATTATTTATATTGCCACAAAGCATAACAATAATTGTATGTGTAATTATTTTTCATCTTTCTGCTTTGTAAAAGAAAACAATTTCCACATCGTTTACATCGCGCTAATTTTTACAATGCTATAATAATAATTTATGTATAGCTTTATTTAAAAATAATTATTTTTATGTTGTAAACGTAACGATTTTTAAATTGTACGGTACATCGTTTAAATATTTAAAAATTTGGAACACAGCTATATTCAATGGTTAGAAGTTTTCAAATGATAGAACTGTTTTTATTGTGTTTTTCATACATTCCTGAGGAGGGCCTCTAAAAGACGGCCAAAAACGTTCGAGCATTAAAATTTTTTGTTCATTCAATGCTGGAATTAGCATTTAGGTGTTAATTGTTCTGTTTAATATATAGTTCGTTTACTTGTGCTAGTTTTTTGTCTTAATATCTTATGAAACATCCTGTATGAAAAATATTCTGAGATGCTCTTTAGTTAAATATAAGCTTACAAGTTTTGTAAAAATCTATAGGAAAAAATTAATTAAAAAAATAAAAAGAATATTGTTTTATACACACAAATGTTTGACAGTTGAAAGTGGAATCAAGTTGATTCCAACTTGATTCCACTTTCTACTGTCCACATCCAAAGATGACTCATTAACCAGGTTGAAAATGTTAACATTTCATTAACTTCACTCACTGTTAGAGGTGCATTGATTAATTTAGCAGTATAAAATTTATTATAATAGAAAAATTTATACAATAATCTAATTATTTTTATTTTAATTATATGTTTTCAGTTATGGGTTAGGCAACAAAGTATCTTTATTTTAAATCGAAAGTTGTCAGATGAAATGGAAATTCCAAGGATTCCTCCATATCAAATAAAAAAAAATGAAGATCAAACAGTCAAAAGATCAAGGTTATTGTATCAAAGCAGAAAAAGAGGAATGTTAGAGAATGATCTCATTTTAAGGTAATCAAGCAATTATCAATAATTAAAAATGTTCATATCAGTCAATATAATGTAGTGTATTAGCTTGTAACAAAAATTGATTTAGAAATAATTTTTCAGCACTTTTGCAGATAAATATTTACATACATTTAATGAAAGGCAATTAAATTTGTATGATGAATTAATAAATTTGCCTTCAAATGATTGGGATCTTTATCATTGGTTAACAGGTAAGTACAGTAAAAGAAATTTAACTTGTTTATTAAATGTATGGTTTAATTTTTTTTTTTTTTGTTATATCTAACACAAAAAATAAAAGAAATTTTAATTTCTTACTGATAATGATAAATATGCTATGAAATTTATTCACACTACTTTACTTTCCATGCTATTTTATATAATAGAGGAAAAGTATCTCAATTGGTCAAAAAACTATCATGATTATTTTTATAATTTTGAATTTGAAGATAATGATTATATGGTAATACAATATTTTAATCTTTGTTTTACAATGTGGTATTATATTACACATTTCTAATATAATTCACATTCAATTATTAGTATTTGATTAATGTTCTCAAAAAAATATTTATTATTGTTAGGCAGTATGAGTATAGACACTTTAAATAATTGTGTTTACAATAAGATTATGATTATATCAACAAGAATAATTATAAGTAAAGAAATCATTCACTATATTTATGGCATATTAGATGCAACTTTTATCCAAAAAAGGGGCTCAAAAATAGGCCTGCATCTTTTGTGTGATGTTGCAATCTCTTATAGGCTAATGAATTCCCCAAATTGCATATACCAATTTACATTTAAAATACCCAGTAGCCAATTTGTATTTTAGTTGTAAATTACTTATCTAAACTTCTGTTTTTCCTTGATAAATATAAGTGTGCATTCTAATTTTACTTTTTTTTTTTTTAACCAGACTACAGTGAAAATTTTTTGGGACCGGTACCAAAGACTTTTCCTAAATATTCTGTGCTGAAATGGGGATGAATCTTATGGGCTATAAAATGCAGTAATTAAATCCAATTGAAAGTAGTAGATGGTAGAAAGTACAATTATGGCTAGATGGTTGAGTGATCAAGATGCCAGCCTATTGCTCTTGGAACTTAGGGACGAATCCAGCTGAATTGATAAACCCTAGAAATTTTTTGGGATGTGTGTCTTTGATATGTTGAGCTCCATCCCTTACCTTCCAGCTGCCCTGTTGTGGGTCTGGCAAAATCCATAATGGACTTGACTAAAAAGCCATCTTTAGTGTCCACAGAGTGGAGAATCAAAAATAAATTAGTTATGATATATATTTTTGGAAAATCAAATAAAATACTTCATAAATAGATATCAGTAATTTTTTAATGTTTATTAATTATAATAAATAATAATGGTAATCAGAACTATTTTAAAAAGTCACTTTCTGCATATTTCACATTGGTTAATTATTATTGATTTTTCTCCCTCCTTTTTAGGTAAAAAAGAAACTCCATTGGAATATCAACATGAAGTATTTGAATTATTAAAAAAACACGTGAAAAATGAAGAAAAAGAGAAAAGATATTGTCAGCCAGATATTAATAAAAATAATCTGTAAATATATTAGTAAGGATGAAACTATAAAAATAATCACTGTAGCTACACTATGTTGTCAGCTGAATGTTCCTTTAACAATGGAACTGATAACTGGGTCAAAGACATTAGCATTTTTAAGCTTTACCCACTATTAAAGGTGCATTGATTAATTCAGCAGTGTTAATATTTTAATCTACTTATAAGTTACAAGAAATGATATTTGCACTTAAAACACAAGAATTTAGAACTATTACAGAACACAACTTGGTCATTAAACTTCTATAATAACATATCTTTTAATTTGCATTATTACAGTTTTGATTTTGAAAAATATAATGAATCATAAATTATACAGAAGTTTCAGAATTACTATAGTAGTTTTATTGAGATACAATGTAAAAGATTTTCATGTAGTTGGTTATAATTATGCTGAGCTTATTTCATTATTTCATGCTCTTCAAATTTTCTTTTGCACAAGATCATATTGTATATTTATTCAGTTGTTAAATTTATAGTTTAGAAATAAAGTTGCTATAGAAAGAAAATGTATGATTTTTGTATTAGAAAACACAATGCAATATTTATAATACCAGTTACAAACTGATTGATTAATATGAAGTATTTATTTAAAGTAAGCTCCTTTTTGAAATAATAAAAAACATGAAAGGTAAAAATAATTATAACCAAAAAAAAACTATGCACATTTCCATAATTTTTCCCTATGGTCACCATTGGCGTCCAGTTTATGATATGGTATCACCAGTTTCCTTGTTCCATTGTCAAATGATGTCTGCCACCAATATCTTGAACAATTCAGTAATGCTGTTTTTAAGACTAACAGCACAAAACCTTTCTCACTAATTTCTAGCCTCCAGTTAATAAGGCTAGAAATTAGTGAGAAAGGTTTTGTGCTGTTAGTCTTAGAAATAGTTCTAGCTACATATGCATAGTAATGCTGTTTTTCAATTTATTGTCATTTTCAAACCATTTTAATGAAAGATATTTCTTTAGAATCAAAAACATGATAGTCATTCAACCCACACTGAATTGTTCAAATGTTGCAAAAATTTTGCTGGAGAATTTTTGACCACACATCAGAATCCCAATCTCATGCCAAGTGACTCCCCTGTTTTTGCATTTAAAGAAATGGCTTTCATCGAATTAATTTGAAAATGACAATAAACTAAAAACAGCATTACAGAATCGTTCAAGATATTGGCAACAGACCTAATTTGACAATGGAATAAGAAAACTGGTGACAAATGATGTCACCAGTCAGGCCTCCACATTTTTCATATGGTCACTATATGGAAAAATAATGGAAATGTGTACATCTGTTTTTGGCTATAATAATACATTTTTAGCTTTCACGTTTTCCCCTCTTTGATATTATGCATATAACATGCAAACTATTGCAATTGTGTCAAATTTGACCCTCCGGCATTTTTTTTCAAATCTCGAGATTTTGCGACGTTGAACACAAAAAGTGAAAAAAGAAAGATGCACACAGACAAAATTTATTTCGTTAATATTGTATCTCAGAATAAGGTAAAGATTACGAAACGATATTTGGCATACTTTATATAAGGGGCATATATGATATTTTTGAGTACGGAACTCAAGGGGTGGGGGCGATAGAAGGGATCGTTTCACATGTCAGGTGGGTCGGACTTAACGAACATTTTATTCGTTATTGGCATTTACAATATTTTAAAACTCCTCTCTATCCTTATAATTAAGCCCTTTTGACTTTTTATGATAATAAAATAACATTTACATTGTTAAATAACTAATATTTCTTAACAGATAGCGCCACACACAATTTAAGTTTCAGCTAATTCTTAGTGTTTTTCAAACAAATATTTTTTACGTGGAGATTTTTATCTTAATTTAACAAAAACACTTTTTAAAACTTTTTAATCTAATATGTAAGATTTTGCTGAGTCAATGTATTTCAATTATCGAAAAACAAAATTATAAAACTGACGAGCAATTATTTTATTGTGACATCGTCACAATGCCAGGCTGCAATTTTTATTTTAATTTAAAAAATATGTTCTCTATCGCAAATTAGTAGTGTCTTGCCCCTGTACATCATACTTCTGTTAGTCATAGAGTTGTGTTGGAGCCGTATTCTGGTCACCGTCTCTCGTTTCTCACAAGCCGGTCGCTGATTGGCTAATCATTTGGATTAGCCAATCAGCGACCGGCTTACGAGAGACCAGAGACAGTGACCAGAATACGGCCCCAGGTTCCA